CAGTTCTGGCAGCTGTTGACTCTGCCCTGTTGCTGCAATTAGATTGATAGCGATAATTGATCAAGGTGGTTAGGTAGCCTTATGTTTATTCTTTTTCTTTTCTATTATTTTAATTGCTCTGTCTCTTATTTGTTTTTTACCGTATCAGCTTTTAAGATTTTTTTCCCTTTTTATAAAGAACAAGAACAATCCAACGTTCATAAGTTCAGAGAAACAAGTGGTGGCCTGTCCTTCAACGAAAGAAGCCAAATGCAGAATATATTTTTTACCTGTTATTACCTTATTGAATCTCTTCCCCATATCAGATGATTGAAGGCAATTGCCCTCGAATTATCATTATAATTACATTAACTACCCTCGCAAAAGGGAGTCTGGATCTGCTCGTCACACTCACAGAGCGCTCAATTTTCGTAATTGTAAGTTATTATTTTCTATCAGACAGTAGATGAGGATCAGACTTCAATTACWTTTTTTGGCACTGAACTAAATAATAATTTTTAAAAATTTAGCACTCTCGAATCTAAAAGCTGGTTTGGTTGGTGCTTGTTGCTAATTAGGGTTTCCACAAGTGTTGTTGAGGAGCAATTTTTTTAAAAATCTGATGTAAAAAAAAAAAGGAAAAATTCTCGATTAGTATCTTGTAATTTGGGCCTAATGCTATTTTGATCCCAAATTTTAAAATGTAGCAATTCAATACTAGAACTTTCAAAATGTATCAACGTAATACCTGTCGTTAACAAATTCATTAAACAACTGTTAAGTGGTATTTGAAAAGACACAAATGTCTTTTGAGTGTCATTTAATTTTTTTTATCAATCATTTAAACATTTACAAAAAAAAGTCCTAAATCCTTGTCTCTTCTATTCAAAAAAGTTGGGATCACCAAATCACACTCGAGGGACATTTGTCTCTTTTCAAATGCCACTTAATTAACAGCTGGTTAACGAATTGGTTAACGACAAGTACTAGATTGGCACGTTTTGAAAGTTCAGGTATTGAATTGTCACATTTTAAAATTTAGGATCAAAGTGGCACTAAGCCCAAAATACAAGGTACTAATCAGGAATTTTTCCTAAAAATAATAATTAGAAATAGAACGGAACTTATCGTTTTCGCTTTCCAAAATCAAAATGTAGGATTCAGAATTGGAATCGCTTTAACCACTGGTTTATGGGTTAGTGATTTGACCACTTGATCCGAATGGATGATTTGTGCAATTTAAAAAATAATTAAAACAGCTAAAAATTATTATTCAGGTTAAATAGATTAACAATTCAGAATTAATGGGTTGTTGATCAAGTCAACGATTTTTGGTAAAGGACCAGATTAGGGGTGAAATCGAACCAATTGCCTTGATGGATTTCGGGCCAAATGAGTTGACCGTCCACATCAATGACGGTTCCAAAACCATTTTCAGAATATCGTAATGTTTTTGAGTAAGCCTAGAAGAAAACGGGCTACACAAACCTGGGAACTATTATAATTAAAAGCACAAAAGCTTAAAAAGCCCGCTTACAGAATAGTGCATCAACATAGCCAAGGGGTAGTAAGGACATTTAAAGCAAAACGATGGCATAGATCATGACACCGCTCCACGATGGTTTTACTTTTGGTATGTTTGGTTTGAAGGAAAAAGTAGGGAAAGGAAGAGAAAATTAGGAAACCTTTACAAATCTTGTATAGGCTTCTCTAACTTTCCCTTCCTTTTCCTATTTTTTCCTTCAAACCAAACATAGACTTAATGTTCCATGGTGTGCTTCAAGTCAAACCAAGGAGTGAGGAGCATTGTAATTGGTCTTTAGGTTGTTTTTTGTTGCAATGCAATTTTATTTACATTAGTACAAACGTATGGCAGTGCAAATGTAAAAAAAGCAAATTAGTGTTAAATTTTGTTTTAGATTTTACTTTATTTTGTTTCATGTCTTAATTTACTTCACTTCTAATGCAATCAAACAAAATAAGTCAAAATTTGAAACATAAATAGGTCAGAATTTATACTCGAATCATTTGCATTGCTATGGTTTTACATCAATGCAAATTAAACACAGCCTTAGGGTCCGTTTGGTTTGTAGTCGGACTCGGAATCGAAATCCTCTGAAATCGGAATCAGAATGGTCCATTCCCATAGTCTGTTTGRTTCAGACAAAAATAGGAATTAAAATCAACAGGAATGGAATTCCATTCATAAGGGAGGGGCAAGGAATGGCCATTCCCTCAAATGGGGGAATGACATTCCAGCAAGAATGGGAATGAAATTCTAATTCCACCCAACCAAACAGTTGGAATCGGAATAGCCCATTCTGATTTTGATTCCAAACCGCTATTCCTGCAAATCAAACAGACCCTTAATATTCATGGTGGTTTAAATGAAGTGTTTATATTCAAGCCAAGTTATTGGATGGATCAAGAAAAACTGACGAAACTTTATGGTTTCAAACTTTTTGTGAAACTTAGGTGGCATTTGATAACGTTCTATTTGCTTTTCCACTTTTCAGATCCTTTAAAAAGTGGAGTGGTTTGGGTTTAATTACGTATTTACGTATTTACCATATTACCTTTGAAAATGTATGATTTGTTACGTTTTGAACCAAAATAACTTTTATGTTTTTATGAAAATAAATTATACACACACAACGCATGAACCTTTTATTGAATGTTTCAAAGGCACACAACATTTTGCTTTTAGTTTTTTTCTGTCATTTTATTTTATAGGGGTCGGTCTTAGTTATACCTACCCCCTCAAAGGCTGAAAGTGATCGAACCTTGAAATAGTTGTTATTTAGCGTATTGATGGACCAAAGATATGATACACTACTCCCAATCAATACTTTGAACTTTGCACCATCCTATTAATCTATTATATTGATTCTCATTCAATAGCCAGTTTAAAAGAAAAAGAAGTTTTATATATGATAATTGGCTCACTATTATACATAGACCCTTTCGCTTTTTGGTAAGTTATTTATCCGGGTAAATGTATTTGTCCAAGTAAGTGTTTTGCAGAAAAGATTTATATGGCTAAGTGCATTTACCCATATTCTTTTAGTTTTCATGGAAACAAAACAATAACCATTTTAACTATAAAAATCCATTATTACAATGGGTATTTTTGTCCCATTCAAGTGTTGGCAACTTTCCCCCAAGGTGGGAAAGTTATTTACTCACGTAGGTGATGGGTATCACTTATCTGGGCAAGTGATACCCAGGAAAATAAACTTTTCTTGTTCCCCACATAAATCTGAAAAAAGAACATGGGATTTTTGGTCAACGGGAATCAAAATCCCATTGACCAACTTTCCCCCCTCTCAAAATCCAGAAAAAAGAATGCCCCCATAGAGTAACATGTGGGTGTGGTATTCTATGTTTTATATTCATCTTTACTATTATGTGATGCATCCAAATATATCTCTATAGTGACATGTAGGATGCTAACTAAGGGCTAAGTCATTGGACTATTCCTTCAAATGAGCAGTCCAATGGATTTCCCCTAACACACCCTAGCTAGTGGAAATGTTTTGATTGTTTTAACTTTAAGGGGGCCTTTCACTTTTTGGATTTTGAGAGGGGGGAAAGTTGGCCAATGGGATTTTGGTTCCCATTAACCAAGAAACCTATGTTACTTTTTTAGATTTATGTGGGGACCAAGGAAAATTTATTTTCCTRTGTATTATCACTTACAAGTGATATCCATCTCATAGGTGGGTAAGTAATTTTCTCACTTGGGGGAAAAAGTTTTCAACACTTGGATGAGATAAAATTATGCMTTTAATAATGGATATTTTATGGTTAAAATCGTTATTATATTATTTATATGGGAAATAAAAAAACATGGATAAATGTTTCTTGGAAACCACTCACCGAGGTAAGTGCATTTACCTGGATAAATAACTTACTGAAAAACAAACGGGGCCTAAGTAAATATGCCTAGATTGTAGTAATATAACAATGTTTAAGTAAAAATGGCGATGATACCAAATATCACCTAAATCAACCATCCAATTGATCATCCACTTAATTAAACATGCAAAACAAATAATTAGAAATAATGTGTAACAATTCTAGATTATCTTTCAAAGCTATTACTTTTAAATAAGGTACAAACAAACCATATTAGAGATTATAACAACTATAATACATGTACTTTGGGCAGTTTAATTTTGACCAAGTATTTCATTTTTTTCTTCGTTTCTTAGTCTTGGTTCAAACGGTAATAGTATAGCATGACTATTGTTACTACATTCATCTGTTTACCAATCTCAATGAAATTAAAAGGAAAATCTATAATACCAAAAAAACTCCCCATGAATTTGATGAAAACCCATCTTATTAGTTAGAGTTGATTGATTGTAAGCTCTAGTATCATGTATTCCTGGCATCATAGTCAAATCAATAGGTAAACTTGAACAAATGACTAAGGCCCCATTTGATTGTCAGGATTTAGCGGGGATAAATTAGTCAACCAGGTAATTAACCATGATCCACGCATTTTAGCTGCTATATTGGATTCTACGATAAAGTGACCGGCTTTAGAGAGTATTACTTACCCGGGTAATTGATACCTTCTCTCTCATCTTTTTCTTTACCTAAATAACCTGCATTATACAAGAATACTAAAACCTATCAAGTGATAAAGGTTTATATTACATTACATGCTATTATTTAGAATATAAAAAAAGATAAAGAAATTTTTACTTAAATGATGCCTAAATACAACGTGTAACCATTAAACTATGCCAACGTAAACTTGATCAAATGACTAAATTAGACATATAACAATTAAATTATGACAAGAATATACCCGTCTTTATGCCTGGCTCTCCCCATTTGGGCGAGAAAGATATGATGCTTCACGATTAATGTCAGTTTATTCTCAGCCCTGAGGCCTGACCAGACAAAACGGTTATTTCTTAACTTATTATTAACAACGTACATTTACCATGGTATTTCTGTAAATAAATTGATAATCCGTACCCTATTCTGTCCTCAAAACCTAAAAATATTATAAAAAAAACTAATAAAATAAAAATAATAAAAATCCGCATCAAAATATCCAATTCAGCACCAGGCACGCTGGTCAGCGCTGTCGGCGAGCTCGGCGTAGGCACGAGACTTACTTACGCTTCGAGATGAACCCCTACGCACGACGGTGCGGCCCTCGACTAAAACCGTGAAATCACGTTCTTCGATGTATTGCGTGGCTCACCTAACGTCACTTCATCCAATTCTAAGGTGGGGCCACAGCAATAGATAAGGGTCGTGATTCATGGTTTTAGCCTAAAGCTATGGCACTGGTGTAGTAGATATTTCTCACTACGCTTCAATTTCAGCCTCCGAGGCCTCGCCACGTGTCGATTCCTTCTTACGTGTTCTTAGTGATGTGGCACCAGGCTCCTCCCTTTTAAAAGATTGGTCCCTCAGTCTACTCACTGTCTTACATCGTTGAAAGCTTGAAGTTGCCTACGAATCTCTGAAGCTACTCCATTGTTAAACCTTCCGACAGGTTTTCGCAATTTCCTTACAATTCGACCAGTTATCGAAAAACTCAACTCAGTTGCCGGAATTTCAAGATCAGGAGGTGAAAATGGCGGAGAATTGCAGTCGGAAGCTCAATGTGGAAGTCTGCAATGCAAGGAATCTAATGCCGAAGGACGGACAAGGAACGTCGAGCGCTTATGTTATTGTCGACTTCGATGGCCAACGGCGACGAACGAAAACAAAGTTCAGAGATCTGAATCCGCAGTGGGACGAGAAGCTTGAGTTTCTGGTTCACGATCCGGACGCCATGGCCTCTGAAATTCTAGAACTCAATATCTACAACGACAAGAAGACGGGTAAAAGGAACAATTTTCTTGGAAAAGTTAAGATCTCTGGAAGCAGTTTTTCGAAATCGGGGTCCGAAACCCTGGTTTACTATCCGTTGGAGAAAAGGAGCGTGTTCTCACAGATCAAAGGCGAGATCGGCTTGAAGGTCTTCTACGTCGATGAAAATCCTCCGGCTCCGGCCGCGGCGGAGCAGAAACATGAAACTCCGGCTGCCGCTGAGTCTACAGAGGAAAAACCAACAGAGAAGAAAGAAGAAGAAAAGAAAGAAGAGAAGAAAGACGATAAAGCAGAAGAGAAGAAAGGGGAAGAGAAAAAGGAGGAAGAGGAAGAAAAGGAAAAGCCAACCGCGGCTAAAGAAGATGCTAAACCTACGGAGAACCCGAAACCAGAGGAGGCTCCGAAACCAGGGGCTCCACCGGAAGCGGTAGAGAGCCCTCCAATAGCTGAAGTCGACAAGACAAAACAACAAAAGGACAAACCGGCGACAAAAAGACTTGATTCCGGCGTAAAGGACCTAGAGATCCGGTCAATCAGCGGCGATCGGAGCCGTAGCGCTTACGATCTCGTGGACAACATGCCGTTTCTCTACGTGCGCGTGCTCAAAGCAAAACGTACAAATGCCGATTGTGGTTCCTCTTTATACGGCAAGCTCGTCATCGGCACGCACAGTATACGAACCAAGAGCGTCGCTGATAAGGACTGGGATCAAGTCTTCGCCTTCGATAAAGAGAGCCTGAACTCTACTGCGTTGGAGGTGTCGGTTTGGGCTGAGAAGAAGGACTCAGAGACGAATAAGACCACAGAAACGTCTCTGGGCACGGTGTCGTTCGATTTGCAAGAAGTACCCAAGCGTGTTCCACCTGACAGCCCTCTCGCTCCTCAGTGGTATACCCTCGAAGGCTCGCCGGAGAACTCGACAGGAACTGACGTCATGCTGGCCGTCTGGATTGGAACTCAGGCGGACGAGGCTTTTCAGGAGGCATGGCAATCGGATTCCGGCGGGTTGATACCAGAGACCCGAGCCAAGGTCTACCTTTCTCCGAAGCTGTGGTACTTGAGACTAACGGTCATCCAAACCCAAGACTTGCAACTTGCTGCCGTTCCCGAAGCTAAGGCTCGGGCGCAGGAACTTTACGTTAAAGCTCAGCTCGGCGCGCAGGTTTTCAAAACGGGGAGATGCGCGATTAGCCAGTCCAGCTCGGCTAACCCCACTTGGAATGAGGATCTGGTTTTCGTTGCGGCCGAGCCGTTTGAACCGTTTTTGGTTATTGGGGTGGAAGATGTATCCAGCGGACAGTCTGTGGGCCAGGCCAAGGTACAGGTATCGAGCATCGATAGAAGGACAGATGATCGGGCGGAGCCACGGTCAAGATGGTTTAATCTGGTGGGTGATGAGAACCGTCCCTATGCCGGGCGGATACACGTGCGTGTCTGTCTGGAGGGAGGTTATCACGTGCTTGATGAAGCTGCGCACGTGACAAGTGATGTCCGAGCGGCGGCCAAACAGCTGTCAAAGCCACCGATGGGGTTGCTCGAGGTTGGTATTCGCGGGGCCACCAATTTGCTACCTGCAAAGACCAAAGATGGGACACGTGGGACAACTGATGCTTATGTGGTGGCCAAATATGGGCCCAAGTGGGTTCGTACACGTACGATCCTGGACCGGTTTAATCCACGTTGGCATGAGCAGTACACGTGGGATGTATATGATCCGTGTACGGTCCTGACTATTGGGGTATTTGATAATGGACGGTACAAGAAAGATGAAACAGGGAAGCCAGGAAGAGACACACGAATAGGGAAGCTCCGCATACGGTTGTCGACACTTGATGCCAATCGTGTGTACATGAATTCGTTTTCACTCACAGTGTTGCAGCCGGGTGGGGCCAAGAAGATGGGGGAGATCGAACTTGCCGTCCGATTCTCGTGCTCGTCATGGATGAACCTCCTTCAGGCGTACACCAGTCCAATGCTCCCGCGAATGCATTACGTGAAACCATTGGGGCCCTCCCAGCAAGACATCCTACGGCACACCGCAATGAAACTAGTCACAGGGCGGCTCGCTCGGTCTGAGCCACCTATGGGTCAAGAAGTGGTTCAGTACATGTTAGATTCGGACACGCACATGTGGAGTATGAGACGAAGCAAGGCCAATTGGTTCCGAGTCGTTGGGTGTTTATCCCGAGCCGCCGCCTTCGCACGATGGCTTGACGGAATCCGAATGTGGGTGCAGCCATCTACCACAGTGCTAGTACACATTCTACTCACGGCAATTGTGTTGTATCCACACCTGATACTCCCAACTGTTTTCATGTATGCCTTCTTCATCGTGGCGTTCCGGTTTAGGTTTCGCCCAAGGGCCCCAGCCAACATGGATCTAAGGCTGTCCTACGTTGACGCCGTGGGGATTGATGAGATAGATGAGGAGTTTGATGGGTTCCCGACGACAAGATCTGCAGATCAGCTCCGCACGAGGTACGATCGGCTACGTGCTCTGGCAGGTAGGGCTCAGACATTGCTTGGTGACGTGGCTTCTCAGGGTGAGCGTGTGGAGGCACTGCTCAATTGGAGGGACCCACGTGGAACTGGGATATTCGTTGTCTTCTGTCTGTTGGCCTCCTTGATTTTCTACATTGTTCCCTTCAAGGTATTTCTGTTGGGGTTCGGCTTCTACTACTTGCGCCACCCGAGGTTCCGGGGTGACATGCCGTCAGTTCCCGTCAACTTTTTCCGGCGACTCCCGTCAATGTCGGACCAGATACTGTAGATTCTCCGGTGGTCTGAGGTACTTCCCAGGTGGAGGTGCTGTGTTGCTATTTCTTCTGCCCCTGTTATTTTTAAATTAATTTTTGTAATTTATTTGATTATTAAATGGGTATGCAGATAATAAAGTAGTGTTGAAATTTGGAAAGTGACCGTTGGTGTTCTTTGCATTTTATGCATTTGAGGCTGGTGGCTTTCTAATTAAATCCTGCTAGGTGACCGTTAGAGGCGCTTGTCTCGTGGAAGAACGAGGGGTACATTGTTTCTGCGTGCACTTTTTACTTTTTAGGTTTAGCTTTGGGAGCTCAAATGGTGTGTGAGTGTGACCACTCACCATAGAAATGCTGAACTTCACATGAGTTTTACCTGGCTGGTTCGTAGTGGCCAGATAACTAGGGCCCCACTTCTGTGCTTGATTGTTGATGCATGCATGCGAACTGATCGTGGGAGAGGGAGGGGTGCCGTGTTGTTACGGTTCAGCACAGGCTTAGCCTTGCCTACGCTTGGCAGGCTTACATTAGGGACATGCCCGTCATTTTCGCCTGTAAGATTTTTGGGAGAACTGATGTCATCTTCAGGCAGACC